CATTAAAGCAACTATATATCACTTGTGTGTCATTAAATGTCTGTCGTTTGCGCATCAGTGGAAACCTCGCTCAGAAGAGTAACGCCTCAAACTTGCATACTAAAATTTCCCTTTTTCTTTATAGTTATTAATTATTACATCAAACACGCGGCCATCTTTTTCTGACCCTTTTTAGATTTGTATAAAATTTTTTTGCTTCTTTAGGGTATATATACAAGATGTATATCACCACAGGTGAACATAAATTTATCAATTAATTTCGGGGTGGATTTTGAATAAGATACCATGCAAAAATATTATTAAAATTTGGACGTATTTCAATACAAACGAGTATTTAATCAGATGGACATGATTATTTCCTCATTTCCTCATTTTCTCATCTTAGGAAGATTTACGTTTCATAAGTAAATTTTTAATATCTAAAAATATAAATAAAATATTTCATCTTTTAAACTACGATGTTTCTAGATAAAATCTATTCAAAATCATTCCCAGAATCAATTTGTACAATCTTGTCCACTCGTCGTGATTTACCCTGTATAAATGATGTTCAATAAACCATAAATTCCTATGATATGAAGAAAATCCCCCGCCAAAAGCAAGACAACATGTTTTAAAACAATTACAAATCTTCATAAATAAATCGTTCGAGTTTGAAACTGGTGCATCAACTTCATGTACGATCTGATCTGTACGTCGTGTATCTATTGAACATCGAGCACAGACAATTTAAAAATGTGAAAGCGTACTTATGAATTGTTGAAAAAACTGTCTTATTGTCAGCGATAGATTTCTCCATACGCAAGAAATCTACAATTTATAAAATATTCCGTGTATTACTCAATACACTTAGGACCCTTATTCGCTAGACTTCTATATCTCTCGTGATTCTTTTTCTATTCTTTTGATAGCGAGTATGTAGTATTTTCATAATTCCCGCGATACCGTGTGTAAATCAACTCGAAGAGTATATAGGAAGTTATCTTTTTCTCTCTTATAGATTACTACGGACATGGATACATCTTCCGAATGTGCTAGGTGCAATGAGAGAAAGCTTTTTTTTTTCTTTTTGTTTACCGAGATACAAAGAAAAAGATATTACCATACACATCTCGATACTTTTTGATATAAGAGGGGCGGGTAAGGAAAGAGGAAAGAGATAATTACGATTGTTGGCTTCTCTATACGATCAAACTCTGTCGCAGACGGTTGTTGTCAACTATGATGACAGCTCGATTGATTAGATCCGACTCATCGCTGTTTCGGTTCTCTCTTCGAAAAAGCTAACTCCCAAAATCACTGCAGCAAAAGAGAGGATATATGGGAAGAGATTGTGGTAGAGACTAGCAGTTGTTAGGATCCGGTGGCGTAACGAGATATTCGTCTGCGCGTTTGTGATCGGACAATGCCCGCATTGTATACGTGTCTTGGGGTAAGTCGCTTTTCCTTCGCAAAAGTGGCTTTGTTTTATTGGAGTTGGTCATTTTTTTTGCCTATTGCAAAGAAAGATTTACTTTAGGCTCCTTAATGAACAAATGATCAAGAACGAAAGAAAAATCGATCCCAATCTATCATACCTCGTTCGCTTTCGCTTCTATTTTTTCCAGTGTAAGCGGAGTTTGATCTGTATCGCCGTCTTCGTCGGGTGGAGGGCTGTCTAATTGTTGCTGCAATATCGTTCCAATTGTTGTGTTCGTAATACCTTTTACAGTCGCGTTGTAATTCGGGTGTCTCATCGCTAAAGCTTCAACGCGCATCCAAGCTTCGTCTCTGTCTTTCATAAGCTTCCTTTCTCTCTGTCGATCCTACGTATATTTCAATCAACATTACTCGTCCTTATTTCGTGATAATGTAAAACATACCTGATAATACTGTTGAGTACACTCGTCAAATACTTTCTGATTCATCTCCATAAAGAGCTTCAACGCATTGTAAATCAAGCCGTGAATAGTTTTGTTCCAATGATTTCGAGAATTTCTGTAGAATGCTGGATACATGATTGGTAAAATAACTGCATAATTGTCTGATATAAGAGACATTATGTATTCGTTGTTCCAGTAATACAAAGCTCTTTCGGCCACCTGATAGAAACATGAGAAAATATTTTGAAAAATTTTAATCCGTATAATCTGATATCAAATGTAAAAAAGAAAACTGATAATACCTGAAAGTGTGGCGATGATACACATTTCGCTAATTGTCTAAATAATGGGTCCATGACTTTTTGAAATTCTGCGGGCTCGATCACATCGAGAATCTCTTCGAGCTCATTCAGAAACATCACTTCCTTAGGGGAATGTGTTTTCGGCCAAAATTTCAGCAGACTTCTAATAACGGGTTCAGTCAATGATGGATCTTTTTCCAGGAACTGAACTACGCAATACGCTAATTGCGGATGATACACAGAGAGCGATTTGGCTTTGTGTAAAGGTAAAAGTACCTTTAATAGAAAAATTTTATGCTCTTCTTTTAATGGTAGTGCAAACCCATTAATTATACTGGAATAAGCAAGAATAACCCATTAATTACATTACACTGAAAGAATAAGAAAGAGTAAACAAGCTTTATCATTTATAGTGAAAAGTTCAAAGTTACCTTCCCAAAATCTCAAGAAGTTCAGCAATACCATTATGGTGTTCAGTTTCATATATAAATCGATAAAAAACATTATTTATTTGTTTTCTGATGTATGCTCTGAGTCCCAAAAACTTCCCATAAATTCTATGAAGCGTCGTTTTCAGGAAATCTCTTTCCCGTGGATCCTCCGAGTCAAATAGCTCCAAAAGTTGCAACACAAACTTCTGGTCTATATAACGTCTAGCAATGGAGGGCTGGAAATCCTGAGACTCGAGTAATCGTAAGAAGAATTCGTAAACTAGCTGCAAGTGAGGCCATGCTGCTTCCAACGTTGGCTCATCCTCTTCCGGGTCGAATTCTGCTCCGTTTGGATTCGACGATGGTGGAAGAGTGCGGAACAGATTCACTGCAAACTGGGAAATTTCGAATTTCAAATTAGAAACGTCTCATACGACTTATGTATCCTAAATAATACCTATCCTAAATATTCTACTATATATTTCATTCTGTGTGAAATCTCTCATCATTCTGTTAATAGTGGACTCTCGTTGACAATGAGATTAAGAAGTTTGAGTTGGATCAAGTCATGCTCACCATGTTCACCGCTTCAGGGTAAATGGCCTCCGTGATCACATTTTTGTTCTTGGTAACATATTCGACCATTTCGTTCAGGGCAGTACGCTTCACCTCTTTCCATTTCAAATCCGAAAGAGGATCGGCCTCGAAGTCGAACAACACGCAACATTGTCGTAGTTTCTGGATGAATAATTCTTCCCTCTCGTTTCCTTGTTGCGTTTCTGAAGTATAAAAAAAAAA